GCTCGGGGGGCAGCGGCTCCGCCCCGCCGAGCCGGGGGCTTTAGGTCGCTTTCCACGAAGCGTTCCCGCTCTTTTTTTAATACATATGCATATATGTTTTAAGCGAAAACGGCGTCAGCAGCTTAAACTCGGGGTTTTGTTTCCCTCCTTGCAACAGCTGAGCAGCAGGGGGGGGGCGGAAAGCAGCACCGAGGGCCTTTCCAGGGGGTCCGCGTGAAGAACTCGGTGAAGGAGCTGCTGCTGCACTTCAGGAGCAGCAAGCAGATGTCCTCGGGCCCCGCCGCCGAGGAAAGCAAGGTAACCAGCCTTTTCCAGCCCGGACATCCTGCCTTTCAGCGGCTGCTGAAGCTGGCGAATGAAGGTTTTATCTAGCGGGGATGGGGTCGGTGTTTTTCCTCCTGATGCGCAGTGGAAGAGCAGAGCTGGGAGGAAATTGAGTGAGGCTGTTTTTACTGCGTGAGAAGGAGGCACTTAAGTGTTCTCAGTAAGCTGTCTTCTCTGCAGGGAGTGGGGGGAAAGATGCGTTTGTGTTATGAAACCGCAGAAACTCCCTGTGAGCCCGAACGAGCCGGTTGGTTCCAAGAGCCGGGGAAGCTGCTGAGGAAGAGGGTCCTTTGTCGTGCCTGTGTGGTGGGAGGGCAGGGCCCTCCGGTCTGAGGAGACAGAAATATTTGTGAAAGATGGCAAAAAGGTCTGGGAAGATTGAAGGGAATCTTTGTTTAGAGGAGCCTTCCTGATAAGTGTTGTCACAGGAAAACTGGTCAGCTTATTAGTGTTAAAAAAAGTACGAAATCATTAGACCTCAGTAAGGAAGAGTTTCTTTCTCTAGGTTTTCTCGAATTTTGTGGTATTGTAACAACTGGCTTAAAAAGCCCTGAGAAAAATGGTGGTTTTCGTTTCAGTTCCATGGAAGTCTTTCCAGTTTCAAACTGTAATTAAAAGCAATTAAATTAGGGTTAAACAATCGTGTACTAGAATTGTTCTAAGGTATAGTCTGTGTTTATAGAAGCAAGTCTCTGCTTCTTTCTTCTTGTTTTTGTTTTGTGTTGTTTTTGTTGTTTTGTTTTTTTTTCCTCCCTGAAATGACATTATAATAATGGAATAATCTGGTTTTTTTCTCAAAAGGCACAAGGAGGATTGGTGAACTACGAGCCATACACAGGTAAAACCCCTCTTTTTTTTTTTTCTTTTTTTATAACATACACTGCAATAAGGTTTTAGAAGTTGATTGTAAGAATAACCTCCAAATGGATTCTAAATCAATTTTCTTTTTAGCAGAGCTGAAGAGCATACTAGGTCACAGTGGCAAAAGAAAGGCTCCTGAGCTCCTTTCTGATGGACCTTCTTTCAAACGCCAAGCTAATGTTCACTCACACCTCCTGGTAAGCTTAGAATGACTTTTTTTCCATACCTTTATTTTTCAGTTTGCTTTGTGATAGAATTACACATCTAACTCGCTTGGGCTTGCTTTGATTTTCCTTTTTTGTTGTGTTTTTTTTCCACCTGACAGACACCCCCCCAAACACCGACATCCATGGATAACGTGGAGGAGACACACAAAAACGACCCAAAGCATGACAGCAATTCCGATCTTCTGCAGAACATCATAAACATCAAGAATGAGTCAAGCCCCGTTTCTCTGAACACGGTGCAGGTTAGCTGGTTGCACACTGTCTCCAGTCACAGCTCACCTGGTGAGCAGTACCAGGACAGCCCGGGAACTTTCTCCCCATCTCAGAAGTACCAGCCATTCCAAGATCCCACCTCCCACCACATGCTTGATCCGCCGCAGCATTACCAGTTCCCTCCGTCGCAGAACCAGGATTTGTCACAGAGCTATCCTTCTGACCCCTCCATGGAGTACAGGCCGTTTGCTGCCAGTGACCAGTCTCCTGGCTACCAGCAGAATACCTTTGAGAGTCATGAGCTGCAGTACTGCCCGTCGCAGAGCTTCTCCTCCCTCTTGAATGACTGTGAAAGCTCAGAGGGCATCTCCGCTCCCCTCCAGCCACTCGCCGGTGCCCACCCGCAGGCTGATGTCAGCCCCCATGTTCCCAGCTTCAGCTTGCTTTCCAATAACATCTGTGGCAGCCTGGAGCGCAACGTCTCTGTGGCAGCTTTGAATGTCTCTCTACCTGACCAAAGCATCGCCAGAAGCACGACACAGCTGGGCAAGTCGTTTTTTCAGTGGCAAGTGGAGCAGGAGGAAAACAAACTGGCAAACATCCCTCAAGACCAGTTCCTTGCTAAAGACGCAGATGGAGACACGTGAGTGCTGTTTATTTCAGTGTTTCTGATGTGGAAGGTTAGGGAATGTTTCTGTTTGAGTTCTGGTGGACCGCAGGTTGTAATGAAAGCTGCTTGTTAGCAGGGTTTGTGTCACAAGTGTGGTAGTTTTGTTAATCAAATGAAATGTGTGGTCTTGCTTTCAGGCTGCGATGCAGAGATGCAGTATGTTGACTAGATAAGGAGTTTGTGTCGTCTAATTTCATGTACTTATCACTAGACTTTTATCTAGTAAATAGGGAGAAAAAGATTCTAATTTTTAGATGCTTTAAGTTGCCCAGTGAAGAAGGTGCCTGTATTTCTGTCTTAATCACCCAGATGAGGTCTGAAGCTGGTGGCATAACCCCACTCCCACATGTTTGGATCTTTGACAAGGCTCGAGCCCTGGATTGTGTGGTGGTGTAACTCTGTGTTTCCCCTCTTCCCTACAGCTTCCTTCACATTGCGGTCGCCCAGGGCCGACGAGCTCTCTCCTACGTCCTTGCGAGGAAGATGGCTGCCCTGCACATGCTGGATATTAAAGAGCACAACGGCCAGGTGAGGTTCTCCAGAGTCTGCTTTGTGTACCTGAGTGCTCTGTGTGTCTGGACCTTGAGGAGGATGTGGTGAAATGCTTATTTAATATTAACCCCGAGATTTAGCCTGCATACTAATATTAACCTTGAGCTATTAATACTTCTTGGAATCACCTTGAGCTGGTAAAGCTCTGCGCTCTGCTTCATTTGTCCTGGTTTCCTGGTATTCATAATCATTGCTTAAATAATACCAGGTAGCTAGGTTTTTTATTTGTTTTAGTTGCTCTTTCCTGTTAGAGATCAGATGACTAATAGTTTAAATTTTCTTCTTGATGTTTGCAGAGTGCTTTCCAGGTTGCTGTGGCTGCCAATCAGCATCTCATTGTGCAGGACTTGGTTAGCTTGGGGGCTCAAGTCAACACCACAGACTGCTGGGGCAGAACGCCGTTGCATGTTTGTGCTGAGAAGGGGCATGCCCAGGTCCTTCAGGTAAGAGCCAGGCAGGTGTAGTTCTGGCCTGTCTGCAACGCTTAAGCTTCCTATTTTTTGTCTTAGAAAACTCCAAAACTCCACTGCTTCCCTTATCTTTCCCTGTGTAGCCTTGCAAGTCTCTCTTGGGGCTTTACAGTGATGCCTTAAAGTCAGACTGAGTTTCACAGTAAGGTTTTCACCAATGCTGAAGAGTAATTTGGTGGAATCCTCTAGCGTGTAAACCCAATAGTAAGCCTTCTCTTGATGCCATTATTTATTGGAACTGTCTTCCAGTGATACTGTAGACAAGCTTGAGGAAGCAGTATGTGGTTTGGATAAAACCTAAATGCATACCTGTTTCCACTTTTGTAGGCAATCCAAAAGGGAGCCATGGGAAGCAATCAGTATGTGGACCTTGAGGCAACAAACTATGATGGTGAGTAGTAGTTCGTTTATGATTTACAGTTACAATGTTTTATGGCTGCTGATGTGAGTGTTATCCTGGGTCGAAAAGCAATAAAACGGAAGTGTATCTTTGCCAGGTTGAATTTTAGAATTACAGTTGAAATTACAGATAAAAACATGTTTAGTCTGTGCCTATCAGGATCTCTTCAGTCTTGCATGTGATTGCTGTGTTTGGCATGGAGTGTGTAGGTGTTAACAGGCTGTTGTTAAAGATGAGGGAGTGCAAGCAATATATTAGTGGATCCTAGAAGCTAGGATCTCTGACACTAGAGAGCTGTTGTAATTGAACCACTTTCTGAACGTAATAGCTCTTTGTAAAGTACATTTTGAAAAAAAAAAAATAAAATTAAAATCGATGCTTTTATTACTGCTGGCTGAGAGCTCACATTGGATTGCTGCTTAATTCCTCTGGCGTTGGACAACCCTGAGCCCTTCAAGGAACAATCACTGTTGTTTGGAAATGTGGCACCTTCCTTGGGCTTGATGGGGAGAGAAACTCCTTTATCCATACTTCAAACCAAGCAGCCAGTCAGTACTTTTGTATTGTGTTTGTTAATGATGTTTGTTGGTTTATTTGTTTTTTTTTAACATGTTAAGGTTTGACAGCATTGCACTGTGCTGTTCTGGCTCATAATGCTGTGCTGCATGAACTGCAAAACAGTCGGCCACCTCACTCCCCTGAGGTCCAGGAGCTTCTGCTGAGAAACAAGAGCCTAGTAGAAACCATCAAGACTCTGATACAAATGGGAGCATCTGTTGAAGCGAAAGTAAGTACAGTGACTTTGTGAAGTGCCAGATCCAGAGAGAATGTGAAGCAGAACATGTCCCTTTTTCCCACGCTACCTCTTGGCTTTCTTACAAAGGAAGTAGACTAATTTGAAAGCTTCCCTACAGCTTAATTTACTCAGGTGGAAAGAGAATTTCATTTATTCAGAACAAGGTATTATCAATGCAGATGAATCGTGGGGAAAGAGGGAGGCGACAGTCTCGTTTCTGGATTAAGAATTAGGCTATGCTGGGTGCAGCTGGCTCTGTCTTAGAAGTAAGAATATGAAGCACTGAGGTATCTGTAGTAAGAGGGTGCTGATGATACCTTGTTCTTGAACTGCAAATTTGAATCAAAAAGTGCTTCAGTTTGGGTCTGTGCTGGGCCAGATCATTACGTGGTGTAACATGTGATGTTTTGGCTATATAATCTTACTGCCAAATGAGATCTGGTTCATTGCTTGTTCATTAGATATTTAAATATATATTCAGATTGACTTTCAGTGAAACGTAGTGAACATACATTTGTTCAACACTCTGCTTTGGCTTACGTGTCTGCACGCTCATCCTGGACAGGTGATGCACCTGTAGGGAAGACTGAGAGTTCCTTTTTGTTTCATTAGGATCGCAAAAGTGGTCGCTCAGCTTTGCATTTGGCAGCAGAAGAAGCCAACCTGGAGCTCATTCGTCTCTTTTTGGACCTGCCCAACTGCCTGTCGTTTGTGAATGCAAAGGTACGATGGTTTTTCTGGAATGCAGTTATAAGGCGGGATGTGCACTGTGTGGCACTGCGAGTGTCCTGAGGAGTCATCCTGCCCTGCCCTTCCTTCACGGAGTTTCTTTGTCTTCTGCAGGCGTACAATGGCAACACAGCCCTGCATGTGGCTGCCAGCCTGCAGTATCGGGTGAGTCAGCTGGATGCTGTGCGCCTGCTCATGCGAAAGGGAGCTGATCCGAGTGCCAGAAACTTGGAGAATGAGCAGCCAGTTCATCTGGTTCCTGATGGCCTTGTAGGAGAACAGGTAAAAAAAAACCCAAATAAGCCCTTGTCTCTGATCCCATCTGTCACCATTTACACAAAAGCCTTCTTACTCTGAAAGTTTCTCTGGATTTTGAGTTGCAGCTTTTAAGGAAAAGATTCGGTAAATGCCATTTTATTCAGGGATCTTTGGTTTTAATGCTAGGATTAGGCAGAATATACAAAGACCTGCAGTTAGAGATTTCACTGGGAGCTTTCTTTTTTTCCATCTAAAAAGTTTTTTCCTGCCAAGTTAGTTTTTTTCATTGTAATCTTGCAATGTACTGAAGGTAAGATCCCTTTTCTTGTTCATTGCACTATGAACTGAGACCGAGTATGAAGTGTGGCCTGAGACCATGCTTTTGTTGCTCTTGTCAGTTAGTAATGGCAGTTCTTAGACTTGAATAACAGATGAAGAAAATCCCTTCTTCCTGTCAGCTATACAAACACATGATGACAAAGATGACTTGACCCAAGAAGCTAAGAACAGGAGCAACTGAGTAGTTACTGCCTTTCATTGGTTCAAACGTTGTAAAATTGGATCAATTCTGGTGTAACTCAACTCAGAACCTAGGTCAGATAAATGAGGAATGCAGAGCTAGGTCTTGTTTTTTTTTGCGATCACGGGTCATGTCAGGATGATGAATACTTATGTTGTCTCTTTTTCTCTTCTCCAGATAAGACGTATCCTAAAAGGGAAGGCAATTCAGCAGAGAATGTCGCCGTTTTAAGCTCCATGTTTCTTGGAGTTCAGCAACCTACACTCACTGTCAGTCAGGCAGTCCTAATGTATCTGTAAATAGACCATTTGCCTGGTGTGGGCAAATGTTAGTTGTTTCTATGAAACAAAAGTATTTTGTTCACTATCATATAGTGGGTTATAGAAGAGTAAAAAGCCAAAAACAAACCAAACAATCGAATTCTTCTGAGCAAACAGGAATATTTCATTCCCAAGTATGTGGAACATTTGCCTGAATACCTGGATTTCATAGCTACAGCAAGACTGATTTTATTTAAACAGCCATAGAGAACTTCTGGACAAATACAATTCTACAGGAAATCTTTCTGTTTGGAGAAGGCTGATAGATGTCAACATTGCAGTTTGTTTGTTCTTGTGTTTTTAATAACACTGAAATACTAAGTGCAAGGGAAATCAGATATTTTTGAAGATTAACATTTATTTATGTAACTTTGTAGCTTTCTTCCAGTATCTTGTGCAGGATTGTATATAGTCACTGACGTTGTACAGCTGTATAGTTGTAAATCTATCGATTGTTTGGGGAATGAACTGAAGAAGTAAGTTCCTTGATCTTGAAGTTGCAAATTGCATGTAGAGTTTTAATACTACACTGGTGCAAATCAGGTAAATTCTGTTGTTTTGAAAGACTGAAGACGAATGTAGAGTTAAGATAGATTGTTCCTAGCACTGATTTGTGCATGCTTTTGGAGTTGTTAGTAAAGCATGAGAAGCCATGCTTCTTCAGGGCACGGTATTGGTTTTTCTCGTACCCAGTAGAGGTTTTTGTTTTTGATGGGGCAATAGATTGAGAGAGAGGTCATTACTTTTATCATGTATATAACTTTGTTGTACTTTAAGAAATAACGATAATGATTCAGTGAAAGTATTTAGCATGTACTTGACTGTTGATGCATGCTAACATCTCTCCATGTCAATTATAATACTTAAATATGTGTAAGCCCCACTAGTGTCAGTAGGACTTAAGCATATGCCTAAGTAGTTTGCTGAACTGGGCTCTAGTTAATTCTAGAGTCTCAGTGTTTTTCACCTCCTAAACAGAGTCCATTTATGGTTTTACCTTATAGGTATAGTGGCTAGCTAAGTAATATTTTAAGTTAACGTTTCTCTATTTTTTAATAATTATGGGTATCAGTGCAGAATATATACTGATAATGGTGTATACTTGTGTTCTGTTGAAGAAAGCTTCATCCTCTGATCACTTTTCAAATGATTCATGCTGGGCTGTAATCCAGTAATATGTTCTCTATATGGTCTTTGCTCTTGCTGTTTTTGCATCACACGCAATTCTTTGCCATAACTATAAGTCTGTGCTGTTTTGAACAGTGTGTCTTGTAGACAAGTGAAGAAATCTGCTGTGTGGAGGCCTAGTTGCTGTGTATTTCTTGAAGGGTCTCATGTAACTTGTGTTTGAATAAATATGCTAATTAAATGTTGGTGGTTACTGTGTGGTACAAACAATGATAAAATCAAACTTGAGGTAAAACTGATTTAGCATGGTAATATGGAGAGGTTGTTGAAGGTCCCTTTGTTAAGGATGAAGTGAAGTCTGTCCATCCTGCTGCTTATGCTTTCTTTTGTTTGATGCTGGTTTTGAAGCTGGTGCTTGTGTGTTTTGGGTCATACACTGTGCAGTTGTATTGCCTGTGTATTTAATAGATTTACCCCAAATAGAGTTAATAGTCACCAGGTTGTCCAAATTGCAGGTTGTTTTGTGAACACTTGTCCTTGTGTACTTGAAAGTATGATAGTAGTTAGGATAACATAATGTTTTGCCCATTACTTCCTTGCCTTGGTCCTCACTTAGAGCTCGGGTACAAGTAGTCACCTCAGCACAGGTGAAAGTCTGCATGAGCAGATGAGGCTATGTATACACAAGGGGAAAAGACTCCTTGCTTCACAAGTAAGATGGGCTCTGAGCTGGCCATGACCTTTCAGGAGGAAAAGCTGTCATCACAGATGGTCCTTGCTGAGCATTGAACTGATGAGATTGGCAACAGTCAAGAAATGCAGGTGAAGCATTAGGATCTGTAGGAAAGGAACCGGAGCAAAAAAACAAGCTCTTCCATGCTACTGTATAAACCTGTTGTCCACCCCTGCCATACTGCTGTGTGGGATTAGTGTGTCCCCTCAGATGAAAGCATTTTAGGATTGGAGGAGGCCCAGAGGTGTGGAGGAGCTTCCTTGCAGGGGTTAAGAGAGCAAACTACAGCTGTGAAAGCAATGGCTGACAGCAGGTAGGACAGGTTTGCAGAGTCACATCAGGCCAGAGAAACTGGGTTGGGATGAACTGCTCACTGTCACTTCCAGCATGACACCTGGAGGCTATTAATGAAGGTACCAAGTACACAACAGACATCAGGACATGATTCCCTGAGGTAGTTGAACAATGTAAAAGCAAGATAGTAAAAGCAAGACATCTGCTGAGGTAGGGTGGGCTGGATGCACAGAAGGACCTTTTTGTGAAGAGTTATTAAAGAGATTAATCGTGAGACAGATTTCTCAACACCGTGTCTGTGTTGAAGTTTGAAGGTACTACAGGCTTGCCCTGTTCTCAGATCTTACCTGGGGACTTGCTGGTGGATGCTCTTGTGGACCTGATACCAGACAAGATTATACCCGTTACCCAAATAATTGTGGTTAGGCTTTTAGTGGTTCATGGGTTCAGTCTGGCTCCACTGATCCTGGTTGCACCTTTCATGAGAAGAAAATGTTAGAAAATAATCTTGCAGCCAGTTGAGTGCTTCAGGGGAGTGCTTGCAGACCCTTTCCTCTGCTCCTGCTCTGTGTAGAAATTCATCCCTGGAAGTATTGGTGTCTGAGGTAAGATAAGCAGGTAAGAGTGGGAAATGTTGATGAAGACTGGAAATGGAATTTAATTTCTAGTTAGGGTATGCAAAGATGAAATGGCACCTCTTTATGTGAACAGCTAATTGGGCCTAGATTGTGTTGAAGGTGCTGCCATCTGCACCTCTTCCTGCAAGTGACCCTGACTTTATGTTTTATTTTTTATTTGTATGATGAGCCTGATAGCACTATTTTCACTTCATTTCCATTTTCTTTATAAGAGGTGATTACACAGGAAAAATAATTGCTGATGAGATGTTCTGGCCCTTCAGATCAGCCCAGTCTGACTGCCTGGCACTCCTTTCAGGGTGGTGTTGACTGAGTCATCTCACAAAGGGATAAAGAACCTTTGGCTGGTAAGGGTGGCAGAGCATGTGTTCAGTCAGTGCTGGAGCATGAAGTAGGTGCTGCTGATGAGAGGCATTTAGGAAGAGGTGCTTGTGCCCTTCTGGAAGGAGCACTGCAAGTTAGAAAATTCCTGAGGGGAGACTGAAGTGTTTGAAGCTAATTTAATCTGCCTGAAGCTTAAATCCATTGTTTCAAGAGATCAGTTCTGCAAGCATAACTGACTCATTTTTCTCACCTATGATATTGGGAAGTTCTGGTGTATCTGATGTGTTATAACTAGAAACAATCCCTTTTAACTGAAGGGTAAGTGATGCTAAATATTCAGCAGGCTAGTAGCATTTACCTGAAAACTTGTGCTGGAAAAGTGCTGAATAGTTTTTATTGATGTGGATGCAGGCACACCATTTATTTCTCTGGTTGGAGTAGAGGCAGAAGAGACTCTGGCCTTGGGTCCAAGCAGGGATTTTGAGATACATGGAGCTTTGTTCTCAGGATGTTTCTGATTTGTTTGTCTAAGTAAGCCAAACGTCATGAAAGGGTTACTTTTTGATCTTTGTGGGCTACTCATCTGGCTGGAGTTGTAGAAGGTGGCAGACCACAGTTTACAAGAAATGTTCTGCTTCTGGGGATGGAAAAAGTACATTGCCCACATTTATTGTGCATTTTATATTTTTATCAGAGAAGAAAACATATCCAGGAAGTGCATTCTTAGAGATGTTGGGTGTGGCAGAAGTGACTTCAAAGATAAGACATAAACTGTTTGTTCTTCTCGCCTGACAGTTTGCTTATCTGGTTGCCTTTCTTTTTAAAAAAAATCTGTTCTCCTGTGCAAGGGAAGAGCTGAGGATGTTTAAAGTGCAGAAGTGCAGTGAATATGGGAAGATAAAGAACAGGTTCCTACAATTAAGTATCTGCCCAAAATCTGACCTGGTCTTTCAGTGCATTCAGAACAAATACTTGGGTTTTTTTCTGTTACCGTTCCTGAGTGTTTGGTGGTCTTGGCCTGAGACACTGCTGGCTTGGGATACAACTGACTCCTCATCAAGTTGGTTAAGTCTCATCCAGCCTCCAGTAGTTCTACCTTTTGATATTCACTATTAGGACAAGGGCCAGCATTGCTGGTGCAGACACTGGCCTGTGCCTAGGTTTAGAAAGGCAATTGGCACCCTCAGAGGTCAGGACACCTTTCAAGCAGCATCCCACCTCACTGTCCCACTGCCCTTAGAGCTACAGTGAGGGCTTGCCTGGCAGCATTTTGCTATTTTGAGAGGAAGCCTCTCTTAGTATCTTTTACATTCTTCTAAGAGATGAAACACTAATTTGAGAGGAGAAAGGTTTAGTTTGCTCAAGGAATAGACTGCTGATATTTCTGCAGCTAAATGAGGCAGAAGCAGTCCCTAAATGATCCTATCACCATTAGCAAAAAACTCAAGGCAGCGCTAATGAAAACTGACAACTGCACTAGTGTAGAGATGCTACACCAGATGTTGTCTCCTAAAATAGTTGAGTGTGGGGTTGGTTTTCTCCTTCAGGCACTTATCTTGGTCTTGCTGAAGAAAGGTAGTATAACCTGGGTTGTGTTCGCTTAGTGTGTATTTCGTTTAGGCTCTTATGATTAACAGGCTGATTAAATACATTTTTAATTTTTTTTTTTTAATTGTACCTGGTAAACCTTACTCTTAGCTCTGAGAACTCAATCTAAGCTGTTTTGAGAAAGTGGTTGCTGCACTAACCAACCTGTACTTCACACGTGGTTTTCCTCTCAGTTTCTGGTGAAATTTCTCCTTTCCCCTTTGCTAGTCAGAGAGCCTGAGGGAAAGATGACTAAGGTGGTGTTTTAGATTTAGGAGGGGGAGCAGACAACTGAATGAAGTTGCCCGTTTCCTCTGTAAACTTGACTGGGCTGTGAGTCAGACTGAAGGGTCTGAGTGAAATGTCTT